TCCTGGAAGTCACCTGCCTAAGTGATATAAAGCTTTCGCAGAGCATTTTTAGGGACAAAATGAGAACAAATTTCAAACACCCCCTTGAAACCTACTCATCTGTCTGACGGCAATCAAACCCAGGATAACTACCAGTGCTCCACATATTCAATCTTTTATAGGCCTAAACACTAAATAAAAATCCTTCCGAGACCAATTACAGGCCTTCTTGTATTACTTTCAAATATTTGTTAAAATTCTGAAAAATACCACATTTCAGTCTCAGACTGAATAATATATACAAGCAACTACAGATAATTAGTTAGCATAACTTATGAAAGTTATAGCTTAATGCATACTCTAGGTTGTTTAGTAGTTATATCAAACTACTAAGCATATTTAATATGCAGCATTCAAAGCTTTCAATATGCAGTGTTCTCCAGAAAAAGGAAAAGAGATTATGATCAATAGAAAAGATGTTGACATGCTCTCAAAGAATTCAAATTAGCGACATAAAAATACATCCATCCTGCATATTAGGCTTAAGTGCCATACTGTCACAGGTCGACAAACATAGCCAGGAAGAAATCATGCCTAAAGCAGAACATCCTTGACATCCTGCCTATGAAAATTAACCTGTTAAATGTTAAGTGGTACTTTCTAAAGTTAGCTTGAGAAGAAGACAGAAGATTGATTTGTTTTAAGTACCAAGCCAATCAGGGTGTCACCATGTTTCACAATTTTTTGATAAAACAGTATTTAGTAATATAAGTCATTAACTATACAAGTCTTATATGATTTACTCTTTTTTCAAATTGGTTATCTACTATTTTTTTTAATTGGTACACCAATAGCTTTAGACCTAACTGATGGGACCCCCTTTCAGTTTCAATTGTAAAGATAAAGTAGTGTTCATTGAGAACTTATACCCAGATCTTTCACAAATTCAGGATATGCCAACAGTTTTATGATATTTAAGTCTCTCTACAGCTAACGTATTGTTTATACTTAAGAAAAAAAAAATTAACTCCAGTAGCTTGAAGGCCTCAACTAACGTATTTTCTCCCATTCAAACCCATCATAAGGTTCTACAAGCATTTTTCAAACATTTTTCCCTCCCCCCCCCATTTTATATTACTTGAAATAAGATGCATGCCACTGTATAGAATCAAGGAGAGCATGAAAAGGAAGAATCTGACACCACTGAGCTACTGTTTTATGCTATATTTATGTTCCAATCTCGATGATCATTTGAAAAAAAAAATTTTTTTTGTAATTATTATTTTGCTTAGGCATACATTAATTTTAAATTTATCATACAAGGATATTAAAACTTTATTTAATTAATGAAAGTAAATACATTTTTATAAAACTTGATAACTGTTCATTAATAGGTTACCATATGCTACAGTACAAAGTCCGAAATCAGGACGTCCATTATTCGGAATGATCTAAAATCCGCACCTCAAAGCCACATTTTTTTTTTTTTTTTTTTGTATGCTTTACGCATGCGCATTTGATTTTTCCTTCCATAATAAAACATGTAGAAATGTTCACTTAAAAATTCCGATTCTTAATTTCACTTCGGCACTAAATAAAATACCTTTTTATGGAAAAAAATCACATAAGCATAAATTTGTGAGATTAATAATTTGGCTCCGTAGCTGAGTATCTGCTTGGCATACATCTCAAAACGAAACATTCACCTATTTTATATCCCTGATGCTGACCTGACGAGTCATTATTTATTATATTTTGCTTTTATCACAGCATGTTTATCAATACCTGACAGCTTCAGTAATAACTCATGCTGTGATGTCTAAACTTTTTTTTATATTAATAATTGAATAACAAAAGTATGGCAACCTCTTATGCTAACATTACGCTTGGCGATGATTATAGATTTTTAAATGCTCTAAGAAATGTTGAGGGAAAATTCAACAAAAAATTATTTTCATATGCTAAAAATAGATTTGTTAATGAAACTCATAGGCCAAAAGATTACATTTAGTGCTTTTTTAATTAAGAATAGCTGATATGTTATTCAACATAAAGCCAGAAGCGGCGGCATAATATGTCGGCACCGGACCACAGAATTTAGGGAAGACAAAATTTTTGGAATTTGGGGAAGCATCGAGCGGCAAAATTAAGGGATGAGAAGTTTTTTATGATTTAGGGAGAGCACAGAGATGCAAATTTTAGGTGCTGTGAAAATTTAGAATTTAGGAAGGCGCTTTGTAGCAGAATTTAGCACCCGTAGAGACTGCACCAGGCGGTATTTAGCGCCGGCCCTAGATAAAGCATTACGTATTTTGTCGCCAATCTTGTAACACACAGTCAATAATGTATAACGAACGCTATTAAGCTAGACTAAAATTATCTTTACTGATTTTAAGGTATTTCAATTAATGTAGCAGACTGCGCTGTTCCCTAATCTTCTAGTTTGATCCAGCTTGTTATTTTTTTGCAGACTGTTATTCTTATGGCAATTTTATAAAAACAAAGCTTGAAAGAATTTCCAATTCTGGAGCTGTAAAAAGATCTGCAAAGCGAAACCCTGTTTCGATGTCCATTACACAAAAAGTGGAATTGCTGCAAAAAATGGATAAAGGCATATCAGTCTCAAAATTATGCGAGGAGTATGGCATTGGAAAGTCAACTGTATATGACATAGAGAAAAAGGAACTTTTTGAATTTTTTTGTGGAAGCAATTTAAACAACTTGCATTAAAAGAAATGTTTAATAAAGTAAACAAATAAATATTAAGCTTTTTTTTTTTGTAAATTTTGGTACTCTTTAGATCATAATTGTTCTTTATTTCATAAATTATGATTTCATATTTTTAAATGTATAATTTCTTCATGCCATCTTACCAGATCTAAATTGATGATCTAATATCCGGAAAAATCCCAAATCCGGAATCGCTGAAGTTCTGACGAGTCTGGATTTCGGGCTTTGTACTGTATTTAAATAGACTTTCTGGTACTCTTCTGTTATTGGAACTGGATTCAGAAATATAATGTATGTATGTAGGTGTACATTATGTATGTGCACATATGAGTGCACACACACATATATACATACAGACATGCATACACGAACGCATACATCCATGCTTATATGCACACATTTCTGAATAGGGTCCTGATAACAGAAGAGTACAGACTTTCCTTTTAATAGAATCAGTTCAATATTTCTTCCAAAATTTAGTTAATACAATCAGTTCAATATTTCTTCCAAACTGTTTCTCATTTATAAATTTATATGATAATAACATTATCAACAATAATTCTTTCTCCTTATAAAAAAACATAGTCGATTAAAAATAATCAGCCATGAAAGTAAGAAATCTTAGATTCTTACAAAGCATATGAACAATACCATTTAAAAAGTTTAAACAGATCCAAGACTAATATGAAATGTTCGGAATACGATTATGATAACAGAAAAGTACCGACTTTCCTTTTCCACAGTTAATACGATCAGTTCAATATTTCCGCCAAAATGTTTCTCATTTATAAATTTATATGGCAACAATAATTCTTTCTCCTTATAAAAAAACATACTCAATTAAAAATGATCAGCCATGAAGGCAAGAAATCTTAAGATTCTTACAAAGCAAATGAACAATACCATTTAAAAAGTTTAAACAAATCCAAGACTAATAAAAAGTGTTAAATCACAATGACTTAGAAGTATCTTTAAGAATTTCCAGTAATACTTGGTGATCATGACTCAAGATATTAAAGTTAAGCACATTTTAGACACAATTGCTTTCACCTGGAAAGAGAAACGCTATCTTAAAGAAAACAGTATTATTACTAAACATAAAAAAGTTCATTTAATGCCTTTTTTTATCATTACCTGAAGTTTCACAGCTATGCCACCTTCAGCTTTAAACGTTAGCTTATATTCTGCATTGCAGATAAATATTAATGAAAGGTTGAGTTATAAATTTTACTGTAATTTTTATTTATAATATATTTAATTAACTGAGTTCTTCACCAATTATTAAACAATCTGTCAAAGAAAACAATAAAAATTTCTGTCAAACAAAATAATAGTTAAAAAAAATTATCTGTCAAAGAAAATGATTAAAGTTATAAAATTCGATACTGCCCAACTCTTCAGAAACAATTACAATTTAGATTGTAGGATCATAAAAAAATTACTTTCATTTCATAAGAAGAAGGTTTCTAATAATACATGTAGTGTAAACAACTAAAAATTAACCATATGTGTAAATCACTACCTTAAGTCTGAATACGGAATCTTTACTTGAAATTACCAAACACAGTCATAAGCAAATTTTTGACTAGTTACAAAATTATAGATAGTAATTTACACTAACATTTTTAAATTACAGTACACTACTATATAATAATACACTATTACATAATATGCTGTTATAGTATACTGTAATTATAGTGCACTACAATATTAAGTATAACTACAATTTTTAAATTACAATATATACATTATATTGGATTATATACATTACACTGGATTTTACATATATATCTATTTACATAACATATATGACTAAATTTTTTCTTACCAAAGCAAGCACAGCAAATTAATAAACAACAGTCTTTCTGCAGAGCGAATAATATTCATGTTCTCGCCCGCTGCACATCATAAACAAACAGAACTAAAGACAAATAATTTGAAATCAGTAAGTTGACAGTTTTAAAGCCCATGCTCCCAAGTAAATCTGAGTGTACAACCCCTGTACCACATTGTATGAGTTCACCTTGCGGTTTTATTCGCGTTTAAAAAATAAGGACTTAACGTTTTGCATTCGACTAATGTCGCAGTGCGCAAGGAGGTTAGACAGCCTATTAAGGCTACTATAAAGGGGAGCTGAATCATCATCCATTTTGAAGCTAACTTGTTGGTATTCGCTATTGGATTAGCACTGATTTCTTGACATATTTGTGGATCGATTCCGACCTAATTTTCAGAAAAATGGGTGGTTGTGCTGCACCAAATTGTTCGAATCAGTCTAAAAATAACTTTAGGATGTTTCGTTTCGTTTCCCTAGAAATGAAGAAAGACGAAGAAAATGGATAGTTAATTCTCGTCGAGATCAATGGATCCCGGGCCCAGGAGCGTATCTTTGTGAGGTAAGTTCAGCTTCGTATTTTTCCATAGAATGTTAGAAAAATTACTCTTCTTGGTACTTTAAAATATTTATTTTCATTTAACTGTCACTTATTGACGATCAACTGATTTTATAAGTACAAAATCAACTGCGGAATGTGTATGTGTTTGTGCAGTAAAATATCGTTGTTTCATGTTGTTTCTTTTGTTATCGTGAGAAGTTTGTAAAATTTGTATCATGCATTTCATGTAAACTTTGTGTTCAGTTATAAATGTGATGTGCCTTTTTTCTTTTCTTTAATTTTACTGTACGATTGGTGATTTAAAGTAGCATTCTATGTTTTGATTCTGATGTATTGTCGCCAAATAGGATAGTTGGCGCCAATGTTAAAAACTGGATGGTACGATCCAAATAATAAATGATTTTGTTTTTTCTTTATAGTAAGATAAATATATTCTGTATTTTTAGACATTTTTAAGAAGTTAAATATTAATTTAAATATTCGATGAATCGTTTTGATCCCATTATTATCCTTTATTGTAGTAGTAAATCTTAATGTTGTATTTTTAACTATAGGTACTTTAAATTTATTTTTAGTGTGTGAGCAGGAAATATGTTTTAAGTAGTTTTACAAACATGATTACTTTTTAAAAATTTTGTTCTATTTTCATAAAAAAAATTTAAATTTATCAGAAAATTACATTCTTAAATTATTATAATATATGTAACTGTAATTTAATACTAGTGCTTTTGATTTTAATGTTAAATTTCATGCATGCTTTTGTTAAATATGCAGGTACATTTTGAAGAAAATCAATTTGAATGCTCTAGGCAAGATGGGCGTAAAAAACTCAAGCCCAATGCTGTGCCAACTCTTTTCAATGTGCCTAATCCCCCACAACTGTTGACCCCACAGCGTCTAAAAGGCATTGGTTTACCAAAGCACCGTTCAGTTACATCCAATTTTTGTAATGTATGTGTTTTTTATTTTTATGGTTTTTCATAAAAAAATATGTTTTTATTACAAATGGACTAAATTGCTTTATAAAAGAATCAAAATATTGAAATTAAGGCATTATGTGATAAAGCTGTAATTACAGTCCCTAAGATTAGATTAAAAAATTAAAATTTTGCTGTTGTTATATATATAATTAAGTATGTACTTTGTTATTATAATCATATATTGAAAATTAAGCATAAAACCTCAATTTGATGTAGTTTTTGGATAAAGTTTTTGTAGTTTTTCGAGGACGGTCATACATGGGTCTGGTTTCTTCAAATTTGCTCCTAAAAGAAAGAAACCGGTATCTGATTGCCTTCAAAGTCAAAAGAGTTTAAATCAAAATTTGTATTAAACTAAAGTTGCTTTTTTGCTTAATTTTAAATTCCAGATAAATAGAGAGAAATATGTATGGAGTAAGTAAAAGAAATAATATTGAAATTAATAACTTTAATCTTGAGTAATACAATAATATAGTTATAATACATTGATTTAAATGTATATTTTAATGTCTTATATGTCTTGTCTGAATGTTGTTATTTTTTGTTTAAAGATTTACAAAACTTATTAGGATTATTTATATTATTTATTATTAAAATTACATTAAGTATATTTTATTTATCAGCATTTTCAGGTATCCTTACTTATATGTGTTTCATAATTTTTGCATCTTCAGGGTGGCTTGCTGCACAGTTTACCTTTATCAACTGAAGCGATTTCTGTTGCTGAACCATCTGTTGTAAGTCTTCATTTGAACAGTTATTAAATATTTAGTATTATAAACTTTTTCTAAAAAGTATTAACACTGTTTCTAAAATTTAAAAATATATTAACGTAATATTTACTTATGTTTAAGAAGTATGAATGCTATGAACAGTCCAATGTATTTATGCTTTTTTATAAGTTGAGTTACTTTGAAAATGGTAATGATTATTTGTATTTATTTTTATCCGATCAGAGTTTATAATTTCTTTCACTTCCACATATTTCATATATTATAATTTCTTTTAGGTTCATTTGCCACAACCTTCAGCTTCATATTTTGGAGAAATAAATTTTGCTGCCGAAGTATCTGATGTAAATTGCCATTTTGCACTTCTAAAAAATTTTAATAGTTTTTTAACATCTATTCGTAAACTGTACTATGTTTTTTTTAAATGTTTCCATCTTCATAATCATGCACTTGCACTTTATTTCATTTCACCAGTGGTTGCAAATGTGTACATTACAGTACATCTCAGGTGTGTTTGCAACAACATTTAGCATTACCTTCTGATTAAATAACAGCTGCTAGTAAAGAATCTATTCTATGTTTTCATTTGAGCAGCTATTAAATGTCATATGTTTTACATATATTAATGAATTTTTATACGATTTCTGAAATATGAAATTGTTTGTCTTATGGTTGCTAAACAGCTGTACTATATCTGGCTGTTGTGCTATGGAATTATTTTTGTAATTTTGAGTGTTAAAATTTATTATCTGTTTATGAATTATAAAATGTTATGTAAAATAATTATTTCTTAAAATGAATGTAGTTTATATTATCTGTATTTCTAAATTTCTTATATATATATATTTCAGGTTTGTTTGCAAGAACAAGCTTCAACTTCATCTTGTGATAAAATGCCATCTATTTGTGAAGGATCTCATGTAAGTAGATAATTAGTGTATTATTAAATTGCTTGCTTATACAAAACGTTTCTATAAACTTTTTTGGGGGGGTAAAAGGAATGTAATTAATTTCATCAGCATTTACAAATTCTTTGTGTACATTTCACGTTTGTTTGCAAGAACAGCCTTTAGCCTCATTTTGCAATGAAATACCATCTATTTGTGAAGGCTCTGATGTAAGTTGATAACTAATGTATAATTAAATTGCTTCCTTATATGCATTTAAAATGTTCTATAAAGTAATTTTTTGGTAAAAGGAATGTAATTAATTTCATCAATAGTTGCAAATTCTCTATGTAAATTTCAGTTTTGTTTGCAAAAACAACCTTTAGATTCATCTTGCAACCAAATTGTAATTAATTTTAATTAATTTCATCAGCATTTGTGAAGGCTGTGATATAAGTTGATAATTTGTGTTATTAAATTGCTCATGATTATGGAGATAATCGATCCCTTGAAAAGCTGGAAATAAATTTTAAAAATCTATTTTTAAGTGAAATAAATTTTAAATATTAGAAAATAAAACAAAAATAATCTAGAAAATGCTGAAAACAATAGAGTCAAATTTAAAAACCCACCACAGTATAGGAAAAGAGACCTGGAACTTGCATTTTTATTTTGTGGATTTATTATCTGTTTAAGTTTGGACATTTAATCCAAAGGGGCTTTGTCCCTGAAGGACTATTGTTTTCGTTTTGTATTGAAACACTATAAACGGCTGCATCACTTTTCAAATTGTTGCCACCAAATATTATCACCCTGTTCTATATTTAAAGAAATTATATAGTGAAGAATCTGCATAAATGCATGTATGTTTTTTTGCATTCTGATAAAACAACAGTACCTAGAGCCATCAAATTTTGAATGACTTAATTCTACTGTGAATATGGACATCTGGAAGACCGAATTTGAAATTCGGAATTTGTTTTAATATATATTTTATATGTTGTAAAACTTTAACGAATTTTTGATTAACAAACTTGAGGATTTCAAAGCGAGCAATGGCAATGTTGTACAGAAAAGACACTTTTATCTCCAGCGTGTGAGACAATGAATCGGGAATTCTGAAGATATGTTCATTTTAAAATTATCTTGCAATATTGCTGTTGAACTGAATTTTATAGTTTAAGTGTGAAAAACTTGATATTTAATAAATAAAGGTAAAACACAAAATGTTAAAAAAAGGCCCCTTTGGGTGTAATTTAAAATCTGAAACCTTTCAGATCTTTTTTGTTTGTTTGTTGTGTTTCCCCCCCCTTCTTTGATGATTATTCATATAGATTTTTCTTTATTTTCCAGGATTATTTTATGATTTTTTTTCTTTTAAGGAATTTTATAAAGCAGACTGAATTGATCTCGCTTCTGCAATGCCAGAACAAAATATTACTGAAAGAACTTACAGCAAAAAAAAAAAAAAAAAAAAAAAAAAATGAAATTAATGTTTTAAAAAAATGGCATAGCACTGAAATTCAACTTCATGACCTTCAAGTACAGCATGAGGAATTGCTGAAAGGAGTGAAAACATTTCTTTCAGATGAACAAATAGCAATGTTGAAAATTCCTCGTAGAAGCATTGCAAAATGGTCTAACGAGGGAATAATAAAAGGCCTCAAAGTTAGATTTGCCTTGGGCAAGCATGGTTATAATTACTTGCACAGAATAGGTTTTCCGTGCCTTCATACAGCACTTTAAATAAAAGACTTCAAGGTCTTGAAATGAATTTTGGAGTCATCAGTGAGATGATTGAACCTTTGAAAATTAAAGGAGAAAAAATGAATGCTAGTGATAAAGACTGTATTTTATCATTGGATGAAATGGAGATTTCTGGCAATCCTGATTTTGATATTTCAAAACGTAAATTTATTGGTAAATGTACATTAGGAAATCAAAAGGGTGCAGGAAATCACTATTTAGTTATTTTACTAAGAGGTTTGAAGCTGAAATGGAAGCAAGTGGTTGCCCATGAGATAACTGGACAGGTAACAGGATGCCAGCTCAAACAACTTGTTGTCAATGTTATCGAAGCTGTCAATTCTGTTGGATTTAATGTTGTTGGTATTGTTAGCGATATGGCAGCAGTAAATAGAAGCCTGTGGAATTCTTTGGGAATATCTGTTTCTCGAAACCAAAGAAATAATTTCACTACTGAAATTAAGGGCAAAATTATTTATGTATTTGCAGATGTGCCACATCTTTTAAAAAATCTCTGGTCTGCAACTCTTAATCATAGTATAAAACTGCCCAGTTATGTTTGCAATAAAGAAAATTTGGTTACTTTGCATGTATCTGCAGGATTTATAAAAGATATCTGGATTACTGAAACAAACCAAAATTGTGGTTTGAGAACTATGCATCATCTCAGCAAAGAAGACCTCTTCCCCTCACATTTTGATAAAATGAATGTTGCTTCTGCTGTGAGGTTTTTTTTCCAATTAAAACAGCTGTGGGATTGGAGAAGGCAGTAGCTTTAAAAGAGATAAGCCCTAATGCTCTTACAACAGCATGGTGGATAAGATTTATATGTCAGTGGTTTCAAATGCTATCCTCTAGATGTAGAAAGAACTCAATTTCTGTGACAAATAAAAGCAAAAAAATTGAGTTACTTTTTGAATTTATTAATGTTATACAGCTTATAGAAATTGGTAAAGGGTGGAAACCATTACATACTGGTTTGATTCTTTCTACTTTATCAGCCATACAGTTAGCAGAGGCATGTTTTCTGAATGATTTTCAGTTTATTTTGACGAGCAGATTGACACAAGATGCTCTAGAAAATGTATTTTCTCAGATACGCAGAAAAGCTGGTTTGAGGCCAAGTGCTTTGCAAGCTGTGAAAGCATTAAAGCTTATCTGTTTATCTCAGTTTATATCTGACATTAAGAACTCCAGTTATGCTACTGATTCAGATATTTACTTATTAAACTATGCGAAAGATGAATTTGAATTTCTGAAGGAGAAAAAAGCTTTAGAGCCTGTTACCATACCAGAAGTTTCTGATGTATCTCTACAGAATCTCACCCTTAGTGAGGAAAATAACGTCTGTTATATTGCAGGAGCTGCAATAAATTCTGTTTTGAAAAATGCTTGTAATTCATGCTCACAGTTTCTCTTAGTTTGTGAGCAAAATACTCCTTCCATTGATGAAAATAAGCAGTACATAATTAATTTTGCAAATTTAGGTGGGCTTAAATGTCCTTCTCCAGAAATTTTTAAATTGTGCCTTCTGTGTGAAAAAATAATTCAAAATTTTCGAGACGAAATAATACATGGAAATGTAACTATGGATGTGGAATTTGTTAATATGATTTGTAAGAAAGCAGGCGAGGTAAATATTCCCTCCTGTTGCAATATCAAAACAAAGATAATAAAATATTATTTGACTGCCCGTGGAATTGGTCTCAAGAAGCTTCTTCAAAATAAAAGGCAGCAGCGGCAAAGTTTTGCATCTCCTGCTTTTAAAAGGAAGAAAGTAAACTAGAATCTAATCAAGAGTTTAAGAAGTTTTTGCTGTTCAGTTCTGTTCTGTCTGTAAAAAAGTAGAGTAGTTGTCACTGAAAAATTGCTGTTTGTCTCTTCGAATAATAATTAGGCCCACCAACAGCTGAATGGTTAAAGTTACTGAATGCTGGGAGTTCCATCTTCTGTTCTATTTCCGAACAGGCTGGCTGCATGGTTGGTTTTTTTGTGGTTTTTCCCCATGTGTAATGTGAATACAAGCCAGTTCTCCTTAGAAAGTCCTCTACAATAGAAGATCTCATAGTCAGCTAAATCGGATTTACTTTTGTGTGACCTTAAATGAGGCATCAATTGTGAATCTGTTTTGGCATGTTATTAGGAATTTTAAATGAAACATTTATTGCTGTTGTGAAAGAATGATCAACTGATGTTTACCTTACTAATCAATGTCTTATAGTATTGTAATGGCTTGCAGGATTTTTCATAATGGGATGTTGCATATGTTTTACTCTTCTTTTTTACCAAATAAATAGAGTATGTTCCTAATCAGACATTTCTTTCTTCTTTTGTACCAGGGTTATATAGTATGATGTGATAATTTGGATTTGTTTATAGAATACATAACAGTATTTTTTTTGACATTCTAATAGAACCAGTGTATTTTATTTATTTACTTATTGCTTTAAAACAGATTTTGAATCAAGGCTTACTTCCCACCCCCTTTGGGTATGCACATAAAACATGTTTAAGCTATATTTATAATATATCAATGAGATACAGTGGATGGACAAAAATATGGAAACACCTTGTGAAATGCATGTTTGAAAAGAAAGATTGATTTTAATGAAATGTAGGTGGCGCTGGCGTTTTTGACTACTGACGCCACCTATACAACTTCGTAAATGTGCTAAACAGTTCAGTTGTTGTCGGAGTACTGTTATGTGAGGTTGTCATTGCATTATGTCAGAGTTAACAGACTTCGAACGTGGGCAAATTGTTGGAGCACGTATGGTAGGTGTGCTTCCGTAAGCAAGGTAGCCGAGGTGTTTAGTGTTTCAAGAGGTACTGTATCGAAGATTTATTCCGCATATTTGAAAAGCGGAAAAACATCATCTGCTAAATCACAGGGCGGACGAAAGTGTGTCCTGAGTGATCGTGACAGACGATCATTAAGGGCAATTGTGACGAAAAATAAGAAGACCACAGCTGCAAAAGTTACTGCTGAAATGAATGTTGTGTTACCGAACCCTGTGAGTACCAAAACAATTAGAAGGGAGCTTCATAAACAGGGAATTGCTGGCCGTGCTGCAATTGAGAAGCCACTCATCAGTGACGCTAATGCCCGTAACAGGAAAAGGTGGTGTTTAAGTCATAAAGCCTGGACTATAGAGCAGTGGAAGCGAGTAATATGGTCTGACGAGTCTTCTTTCCCATTGTTTCCCACTTCTGGCCGAGTTTACGTTTGAAGAACGCCATCTCAAGCCTATAATACAGACTGCTTGTTGCCAAGAGTGAAACATGGCGGGGGTTCTGTTCTGGTTTGGGCAGCC